CTGACATTATCGAGAGTAACCATCTGGTTAGTGAGGGAGTCACGCAGGCGCTTCGGACCGAGTAGGATCACTTCTGTCTTCTCCGGGTTGAGAAGTAGGAAGTTAAGAGTCATCCACATTTTAAGGTCCTTTATGCAGGCACTGAGCTTTTCTAGCTGATCTGTCTGATTAGGCTTCATCGACAGATAAAGCTGTGTGTCATCTGCATAGCAGTGGAAATTAATTCCATGCTTTTTAATAATGTTTCCCAGTGGCAGCATGTAGAGAGTAAAAAGAATCGGTCCGAGTACCGAACCCTGCGGCACACCGAATTCCACTCCAGAATAAGGCGACGAGTCCTGATTCACATTGACGAAGTGATATCGATCTGATAAATAGGATTTAAACCAGCCAAGGGCTGTTCCTCTAAGACCTATATCACATTCTAGCCTCTGCAGTAGAATGCTGTGGTCTATTGTGTCAAATGCAGCACTAAGGTCCAGTAGGACCAGCACTGACACTTGTCCATTATCGGCAGCTAGTAGTAAGTCATTTGTGACTTTGACTAGTGCCGTTTCAGTGCTATGATGAGCTCTGAATCCTGATTGAAAGACTTCAAACATATCATTTTCCTGCAGGTGGCAGCGGAGCTGCTCAGCTATAAGTTTTTCCAGGATTTTAGATATAAAAGTGAGGTTCGAGATCGGTCTGTAGTTTGTAAGTATTTCTGGGTCCAGGTTTGTTTTCTTCAGAAGGGGGTTTGATTACCGCGGTTTTAAAAAGCTTGTGGGACATAGCCACATTGTATGGATGCGTTTATTATATTTACGATAGGCTCAATTATCAAAGGAAGTATGTCTTTGAAGAGCCATGTCGGGACTGCGTCTAACATGCAAGTTGAGGCTTTTGAGGATGTGACCACAGAGATCACCTCTGCTTGGCTCACAGCCATGAATTTATTAAGGCCCACTGAAGAGTCTAAGTGGGAAGTCACGTATGCCGCTTCAACCTGTCCACCACTAACAGCAGGAGCAACCTCCTCCAGCTTGTCACGGATGGATGTAATTTTATTATTAAAGAAGTGGAGAAAGTCGACACTGCTCAGTGAGCTTGGAATTTTAGGCTCGATTGCGCTATGGCAGTTTGTGAGTTTAGCGACGGTACCAAACAAAAATCTACTGTTGTTTTTATTCGCTTCTATTAAAGTTGAATAGTATTATTGAGTTCGAGCCCCGCGAAGGGCCTTCTTGTAGTTTCGGAGACCTGCTTTCCACTCCCTGTGGACAGGCTCCGAGTGGGAGTGGCGATATAGCCTCTCCAATTTTCTGACGTCCTGTTTTAAAGTGTGGAGTTGAACACTGTACCAGGGCGACGATGATCTAATCCTAATGGTTTTCTGTTTTAAAGGAGCTGCTGCATTTAATGCAGATTTTAAAGACTCCATAGTGTTGCCCACCGTTTGGTCAATGACTGAGGGACTGCAGCTGCTGTGAACAGGTTCACCTGCAGCAGTATTCAACATAGGCTGTATTAGTTCTTTGAACCTTGTGATAGATTTATCATTTAAGGTTCTTTTTTTTTTCATTATGGTTTTATCTTGCGGGACAGGAAAGTCCTCCAAAGCGAGATCAAACGTGATCAAGAAATGGTCAGACAGCAACGAGCTTTGACGCTGGATGTCAACATTGGAGACATCACAGCCGTAGGTCAGGACAAGGTCCAAGGTGTGGTTATGAATGTGAGTAGGTTCCTCGACATTCTGAGTAAAACCAACACCATCTAGTACGGCGCTGAAAGCTTTGTTTAAGCTGTCAGTGCTGTCGTCCACATGTATATTGAAGTCTCCAGCTATAACTATGTTTTCCCATTCCAAAACTAGGTTTGAAATGAAGTCAGAGAATTCTGTTAGGAACTCGCTGTAAGGACCAGGAGGTCGGTATAAAACTATAAATAGTACTGCTTTTTGTTTTCGTGACGTGACTTCCTGTATCCGGTGAGCGTGTTTCTTGACTGCTATCACTCTGCTCTCTGTTTGCACTAACAAACACATTACAAATCCACGTATTGTACACCAAGCTAACTGTGTAAGCACTCCGAGTCAGCTGTACTGTAGCTGAGGTTTAGGTAGCGGTTGTTTGTCTGGTCTCGGAGTCTGTTGTGCGGGCCCGGATCCGTACTAGCTTAGCCTAGCCTAGCTTAGCCTAGCCTAGCCGCTAACTCGCTACTATGGCGGCTGCTGTCTCTCCCTCAATCCTTTACTGCTCGAGTTGCCATATGGCGAGTCTAAACCCTGGATCCTTCTCTGAGGGTAGTGATAGATGTGTGAAGTGTAGTGTAGTCGTAGCTCTGGAATCCAGGGTCAGTGAGTTAGAGCTGCGTCTCCGAGCACTGGAGTCTCGAGCTAGCGCTAGCATTAGCTACAGCCAGGCCGTATCCTCAGGGACAGCGGAGCGCAGCTTTAGGGAAAGGCAGAGGAGAACTAGCGAGCCTAGCCTCCCAGCCCGTCCTCCGCAGCTGGGACAAGACCAGGATAGTGATGGCTTTGTGACTGTTCGGAGAGGGCGACGTGTTGTTGGTAGTTTCCCCATTGGGCCTCCTCCTGTTAGCATTTACAATCGCTGGGACGCTCTGTCCGGCTGCGCCCCCGCGCGGCCGGGCGGGGAAGAAGGCCCCACTGAGAGAGCCGCTGAGAGAGCTGCTGAGAGAGCCGATGGAGTCGCTGATGCGCTGGTAATTGGCTCCTCTATTGTTAGAGGTGTTAAGATCCCAGGAGCCACTGTTCGGTGCTTCCCTGGGGCCAGGCTTGGTGATATTGAAGGGAATCTGAGGCTCATGATGACCCACAAGCAGCGTTTCCGTCGAATTGTTATTCACGCGGGTGGTAATGACGTTCGGCGGAAACAGTCCGAGGTGTTGAAGCTGCAAGTCGCCGCCGTGTGCAAGCTGGCTAGCACAATGGCCGACACTGTCATCTTCTCTGGGCCCCTACCTAGCACTAGCAGTGCAGAAGCATTCAGCAGACACTCGGCTTTCAACCGCTGGCTGTCTGGCTGGTGCCCTCGAAGTGGTGTTGTTCATGTTGACAATTGGAGTGCCTTTTGGGGAAAGCCCGGTCTCATCCGCTCGGATGATATCCACCCAACGTTGGCGGGTACATCCCTTTTGGCTAAGAATTTGGCCCTGGCTCTAAACTGTTCTGCTCGGCTCAAATGACGATGCAGAACTGAGGCCCGGGTGCAGAGCTGCTCTGCCACAACCTCTGAGCCCCCATCTGTTCAGTTACTAGCCTCAGAAGCTAGTCAGATTGAAACTGTGTGTGCATGTGTGTGTGTGCCTGTGTGTGCTCAGTTACTAGCCTCAGAACCTAGTCAGATTGAAACTGTGTGTGTTCCCCGCTTGAAGTCTAAAGCACTATATGCGAGGAAATCTGACCTAGGTGTCAGACACAGTAACTTAATAAAAGTTCAGACAGACAGAAATAGTTCTAACAGTAGGGTTGTTAAATGTGGTTTAATGAACGTCAGATCAATCTCGTCTAAATCGCTTCTCATAAACGAACTTATTATAGACAAGGGCTTGGATCTGTTAGCGCTCTCGGAGACTTGGCTCCAACAGGACGAGTACGTTAGATTGAATGAGTGCACTCCTCCGACGCATGTTAACTACCAGAAAGCCAGAGCTACAGGTCGCGGCGGTGGTGTTGCGATTATATCACACACCAACTTGGTTCTTAGTCCCAAAACCAACAACGCTTTTCACTCGTTTGAAAACTTAACACTTTCAATCACCTGTCCTGGGTGGAGAAAACAAAAAGCAGTACTATTTATAGTTTTATACCGACCTCCTGGTCCTTACAGCGAGTTCCTAACAGAATTCTCTGACTTCATTTCAAACCTAGTTTTGGAATGGGAAAACATAGTTATAGCTGGAGACTTCAATATACATGTGGACGACAGCACTGACAGCTTAAACAAAGCTTTCAGCGCCGTACTAGATGGTGTTGGTTTTACTCAGAATGTCGAGGAACCTACTCACATTCATAACCACACCTTGAACTGAAGTCAGTTACTGTTGGTGTGAAGTCAGTTACTGTTGGTGTGAAGTCAGTTACTGTTGGTGTGAAGTCAGTTACTGTTGGTGTGAAGACAGTTACTGTTGGTGTGAAGTCAGTTACTGTTGGTGTGAAGTCAGTTACTGTTGGTGTGAAGACAGTTACTGTTGGTGTGAAGTCAGTTACTGTTGGTGTGAAGTCAGTTACTGTTGGTGTGAAGTCAGTTACTGTTGGTGTGAAGTCAGTTACTGTTGGTGTGAAGTCAGTTACTGTTGGTGTGAAGACAGTTACTGTTGGTGTGAAGACAGTTACTGTTGATGTGAAGACAGTTACTGTTGGTGTGAAGTCAGTTACTGTTGGTGTGAAGTCAGTTACTGTTGGTGTGAAGTCAGTTACTGTTGGTGTGAAGACAGTTACTGTTGGTGTGAAGACAGTTACTGTTGGTGTGAAGACAGTTACTGTTGGTGTGAAGTCAGTTACTGTTGGTGTGAAGTCAGTTACTGTTGGTGTGAAGTCAGTTACTGTTGGTGTGAAGACAGTTACTGTTGGTGTGAAGACAGTTACTGTTGGTGTGAAGTCAGTTACTGTTGGTGTGAAGACAGATACTGTTGGTGTGAAGACAGTTACTGTTGGTGTGAAGTCAGTTACTGTTGGTGTGAAGACAGTTACTATCGGTGTGAAGACAGTTACTGTCGGTGTGAAGACAGTTACTGTTGATGTGAAGACGGTTACTGTTGGTGTGAAGTCAGTTACTGTTGGTGTGAAGACAGTTACTGTTGGTGTGAAGACAGTTACTGTTGGTGTGAAGTCAGTTACTGTTGGTGTGAAGTCAGTTACTGTTGGTGTGAAGTCAGTTACTGTTGGTGTGAAGACAGTTACTGTTGGTGTGAAGACAGTTACTGTTGGTGTGAAGTCAGTTACTGTTGGTGTGAAGTCAGTTACTGTTGGTGTGAAATCAGTTACTGTTGGTATGAAGTCAGTTACTGTTGGTGTGAAGTCAGTTACTGTTGGTGTGAAGACAGTTACTGTTGGTGTGAAGTCAGTTACTGTTGGTGTAAAGTCAGTTACTGTTGGTGTGAAGTCAGTTACTGTTGGTGTAAAGTCAGTTACTGTTGGTGTGAAGTCAGTTACTGTTGGTGTGAAGACAGTTACTGTTGGTGTGAAGACAGTTACTGTTGGTGTGAAGTCAGTTACTGTTGGTGTGAAGTCAGTTACTGTTGGTGTGAAGAGAGTTACTGTTGGTGTGAAGTCAGTTACTGTTGGTGTGAAGTCAGTTACTGTTGGTGTGAAGAGAGTTACTGTTGGTGTGAAGTCAGTTACTGTTGGTGTGAAGTCAGTTACTGTTGGTGTGAAGTCAGTTACTGTTGGTGTGAAGACAGTTACTGTTGGTGTGAAGACAGTTACTGTTGGTGTGAAGACAGTTACTGTTGGTGTGAAGACAGTTACTGTTGGTGTGAAGTCAGTTACTGTTGGTGTGAAGACAGTTACTGTTGGTGTGAAGTCAGTTACTGTTGGTGTGAAGACAGATACTGTTGGTGTGAAGTCAGTTACTGTTGGTGTGAAGACAGATACTGTTGGTGTGAAGACAGTTACTGTTGGTGTGAAGTCAGTTACTGTTGGTGTGAAGACAGTTACTGTTGGTGTGAAGTCAGTTACTGTTGGTGTGAAGACAGATACTGTTGGTGTGAAGACAGTTACTGTTGGTGTGAAGTCAGTTACTGTTGGTGTGAAGACAGTTACTGTTGGTGTGAAGTCAGTTACTGTTGGTGTGAAGACAGTTACTGTTGGTGTGAAGTCAGTTACTGTTGGTGTGAAGTCAGTTACTGTTGGTGTGAAGACAGTTACGTATTGTTCAGGTGTGAGTCTGTACAAACCACAGCCTCCTGTTGTTTTAACTCTGTCTTTCGCTGCGTGTGTTTGCGATGTTGACAGTTTGTTGTTATGACGCGGGTTCCTACATTTTTGCATAATTATTTTTCTAAAACATTTGTGTTTGGGTCGTTCTTTTACATAACTGGTCCTCGACGGTTCCTTTTTCAAACTTGTCAGGGCACAGTGAAAGCAACAATATTAGTGCCGCCTGTGAAACAAAAATGCGATTCTCCTTTTTGTTCTTTAGTGTCTGCTAGTTTTATATCTTTAGCCACATATATGTAGCTGACACATCTGTCCAGTCATGAGGATGTGGACGTCTGGAAGGGCAGTCGGGGGCTGCTGTAGTGGGACCTTCATGTAGACAAGTAATGAGACTGTAATGAGTATCGTATGAATGTGTTTACGCTGACATGTGTTCTGGGCCACTCTGCTATTGTCGTCTTCAAGCTAGGGCCCAGGTGAGCGAGGTGAGTCTGTAGTTTGTATGCTATCTGTAATATAAACGTAAATATCTAAGCAGAGTCTGAGTTTCCATTCGTTATACACTGCAGTGCGGGGGGAAACTATTTGAGCCACAATAGATTATTTACCCCAGCCCCTTATCAACCAATGTATTTGAAGATGGTGCATTGACCCGGAGAGTGCCCCAGCCTCATCTACATTCATAGGTCAAATTCTAAGCCTACGACAACAGTTCTAAATGATGGTGAAGGTGAATATTCTTTGAAAGGTCAGATTGATTGATTGGTTAACATGCTTTTTTCATTTGGAGGAACAATAAATCTTACTGAGTGTACATTTTAAAGGTCCCCTAGTACAGGTTAAACACAGGTTAAAGGTCACACATTGTGCAAGTTTTGAACCACACATCAGGCTGCGATAAGAAGGCTCTGTACGCTTCATTTGCAATTCATCAATTTCACTGTGAAGGTTTGATCTGATCCTAACGGCAGGTCTGCTGTCGTACCTCAGGTCTGGAGGGGTTCTACACAGACTGAACAGAATAAGTACCTTTAACCTATAGTCCCTGTACCTTTAACCTTTAGTCCTTGTACCTTTAACCTTTAGTCCTTGTACCTTTAACCTTTAGTCCTTGTACCTTTAACCTTTAGTCCTTGTACCTTTAACCTATAGTCCTTGTACCTTTAACCTCTAGTCCTTGTACCTTTAACCTATAGTCCTTGTACCTTTAACCTATAGTCCTTGTACCTTTAACCTATAGTCCTTGTACCTTTAACCTCTAGTCCTTGTACCTTTAACCTATAGTCCTTGTACCTGGGCGGCACGGTGGCTGAGTGGATAGCAAGAAGGTATAGCAAGAAGAAGATAGATAGCAAGATAGCAAGAAGCCTCTCAGCAAGAAGATCCTGGGTTCGAATCCTGGTCGGAACAGGGCCTTTCTGAGTGGAGTTTGCATGTTCTCCCTGTGTTTACATAGGTTTCCTCCAGCTGCTAAAAAAACCAAACTAAAAACCTGTACAATAGTTCAGGGTGAATGAGTGTTTGTTTGTAAGTGCGAATGTGGGACCATGGCTACAATCCAGAGTGATGTGTTCACCCCAGTGGGGGCGGGTCCCGGCTCAAAAGTGGCCTAAATGACGTGCGCTGACATGCTTGCAATACCACCCCGGGCCGATGGGGGTGGACCCAGAAGTAGAATTAGCCAATGCTAACATATAGCATTGGCAGACCTCTCAAAAACGTCTTTACAGGATGGACCAAAAGTTGGCTTTTGGCCCAAAGCTCCGTTCCACATGTGTGTCAATGCTGAGGGGGGTAGATTTTTTTGGACCACTCTAGTTTACTTGCTGTGAATTTTTGAAGTCTCTCGTTCAAATGAATGGAGCTGCGCCGGCTGACGCATGCGCAGATGCGTTTTTTTACAATTTTCTTGTGGGCGGGACCACTCGCGGCCATTTTGGATTGCTCCAGTAGAGCACATTTTTTGGCCCATTAGTTAGAACGGCGGAGATAGGCGTGAGTCTGTCCGTTAATATATACAGTCTATGGTTCATACATGTACTGTCCCATACATAGAATGACATTGTTACATACTGTACATAGAAAAGGGAGGAAGCAAGTTACAGGTCAGGTTTTTAGGAAAGCTTAGGGTGTACACACACACAGTCACGCTCTCTTGATTGTAATTTGAAAACTCCGATTGTATTAATTTTGGGGGAGGGGCTCAGGTTTCTTGCAGCAGTCCATTCATTTTCAGCTTTAATAATACAGTTCATATGAATTATCACTGTCAGTCCTGCCTCAGTCCTGGAGCCTGCCCTCTCTGGTACAGCAGAATACATCCATGTTCATCACCTGGTTTATCATCTTACAGAACTCCATACATTAAAACAGCTGGGAGGTATGGGGATACACGCCACACTCATGGTTCACATCAACTTGATCTCCCATGAGCCTTTGCAACAGACGAGAGGCTTTCACCACGCAGATGGAGCAGATTGAAGTGTTGAATGTACTTTTGTGGTTGACATTTGCACAGTTGCAAATTTGTGGCTGCACTTTGTTCTTCGACGCTGTGATTTGCACTGAGAGGCAATAATTAATGCATTTCATTATTCAACAATAATTCACTCCATTCAATTTAAATTTATTTGTGTTTCACATGTAATATAGTGTAACATTTTGATTAAACTCGTTAGGCCAAATGATTTATAGGCCATTTTATTTATTTATTTTCACCAACCGTGAGCGGGAACGCTATGCCAAAGAATTACTATTTAATCCACCTTGTTAATTAATTGTAATTGATCAAACACAACATATTGGCATATATAATTTTAATATAGAATTCTCATATGTGGATTTGCTAATCCATTTATAGAGAAGCCATAGATGTGGTGTATTTCAGCCCAAATAAAGCGCTGGATTTCACCATGTATCAGATTTAGATGTAGATGATGTACCCGGAATAAGCAAATCCTCCCTTAAGCCTACAACTATAATTTATCTCAAGATTAACAAAATTAGGAGACATTCACATCTCTCATACAGCCAACACAAGTTGTGATATTCCCCATGTCTGGCTCACCACCAGACGCACTCAGTCCAATTCAGTTGTATTTGTATAGCCCCAGACAGTAGTTATCTCTGAGGACTACAACATTTTCAACACGGAATCAAAGAGTTTAAACACAAGAATGCAATGATGAAAAACACATAGAGCCATTGGTCCATAAGAGGCAGCGACCAATGTCCATGAATGTGGTTGAATGTGGAGAGTCCTGGATCTTCTCTGTCCTTAGACCCTCCTCCATCAGAGCGGAGCAGAAACCCATTGGGAGAGAGTGAGAAACCTCGGGGGAGGGGGGGCATAATTTCCCCCATGGGACAAATAAAGGATCTCTTCATCTGATAGTGCTTAAAGCTGCACTAACTGACTTTATTTTGTATTCATTACGAAAGTGCTATCCATGTCCATGTAGTGCATTGGGATATTCGTCCTTTTGAAGAAAAAGTAGCGCAGATTTGTGCTGGCGTGACATTATATTTTAGATCGAGTTTTGATGAAACAAGGAAGAGAATGTGTTTCGGGTCGCAGATTGTGACCAATCACAGCGCAACGCTAGCCCCCACTTTCGTGAGAAATCTACAGGTCCGTTAGCATAGACGGCTGAGTTAGCACAACAAGCGGCGGAGCTAACCTGGTCACCGGTTACTGCTTACACAGCGAAACAGCCTCCGCACTTCCCGGTTCTATTGTTCTATGGTCACGCCATCCACGTGCAATTCTATGTCCATGTATTATCCATATTGGGAGATGCTAGCTCCGTCAACAACAGTGGGTGTGTGTGGGGGGCGATAGCTTCGTGGGTGCGGGGAGGGGAGCAGAAAGAGCGAGTCCGCAGCTTCAAAATCCCAAAGTCAGTCAGTGCCGCTTTAAGTTTCCAGACTTAGACAGCAAAGTGACTCTCTATGTAGCTTGACTGACGATCTAGGTTGTATTTTTAAGTCTTGTCTGAGTCGTGTGGATAGTGAGCTTTGTGTCCTGTTCGCAGACATCCATGAGGAGGGCGGTCCGCGGCCCGTCATGGTGTACGTGCATGGAGCCTCCTACACTGACGGCACAGGCAACATGATGGACGGGAGTGTGCTGGCCAGCTACGGCAACGTCATCGTGGTCACACTCAACTACCGCCTCGGAGTGCTGGGTAAGTCCCACCTTTCACGGACACATGACACACAATCATCTCCCGAGGCTGACTCCCACTGGTCGCCTTCTCTGCACACTGAGAGACACAGGCGGGTGGGTCAAAACAACACACAGGGACAAAACGTTACATAAAGACAGCGTAACGAGTGGTGTAACAAGAGCTTACCGTCAGAGATTGGGCTGTTACCGGTGGGGGCGGGTCTCAGCTCATAAAGGTCCATGAGCACGTGCCCTGACATGCTCGTAATCGGACTCCTGGCCGGTGGTGTTGTACCACGAAACAGAATTATCCAGTGCATTCTAATACTACCTTCTTTCCTCTCGAAACCGGCTTTACAGTTAAAAGTTGCTCTTGGCCCATCTGGTTTCAGATCCTGTCAATGCTGAGGGGGTGTTTTGTTTTTGAGCCAGCCGAGTTTAGCCGCTAACGTAGGTGCACATGTTTTTTTTCTTACTTTTTCCTGTGGGAGGGGCTGCCTGCGGCCATTTTGAGAAAGTCAGCAGGCGGGGAAAGTGATGTCACATTAGTTTGTATCTTCTCTAGTGCAGTGTTTTTCAACCTTTTTTGAGCCAAGGCAGACTTTTTTCTTTGAAAAAATCTTGCGGCACACCACCAATATAAAGTCATTCTCATCAAAGTGCTTAAATAGTCATCCAGGCCTTGACATTAAGCTTTGTTTAATATTTCTCAATACAATGAGTTAACAAGAGTTTTGGAATAAAGTAGCACTAACTGTGTGCAAAAACTTGAAAAAAAACTGCTCTAGTGTCTGCGTAGGATTCCACCTCCATCATGAACAATATCTCCCACCCACTGCACAGGACTGTAGAGGAGCTGAGGAGCTCCTTCAGTGGAAGACTGAGGCACCCTCAGTGTAGGAAGGAGCACTACCGCAGGGCCTATATCCCCACCGCTGTCAGACTGTACAATAAGTCACTTTAAATGATCACTGTGTGAAAACCTGCACTACTATTGACACTGTTTCCAATTGACACTTGTCACTTTTGTTGCACATAATTATTGTCACTTTATTGTACATATATCCTGCATGTAACATGTTTGCACATTTCCTCCTTTTGCACAATCTGAGTGTTTCTATCCATGCCAAATGTGACATGTACATTTCTCCTATGTGAGATAAATAAAGCACATCTTATCTTATCTTCCTCCGGGTGCTTCTGTTTTCCCTACCACTAACTACATGTGCAGTAGTTCATGGTGAATATTGTGTTTGTGTGTGCGACTGTGAGCCCAATCCAGAAAGGTGTGTTCAATGTTCTCTGTCTCTCAAGAAGGACCTAAAATACAATACTGCAAATAGTAAAATAATTGAATAAACAAGAACCAAAACCAAGACTCAACTGAATGCAAAACACAGGAACTGAGGACTAAGACAAGAACTGAGTAACAAACACACAATGGACTCACAACAAGAGGGACAGAGCACAGGGGATTTAAATGGGAGTCACAGTTACAGCATCAGGGCGGGGCAGGCAACAGAACTGAGAGACATAGACGTAGATAATACAGAATTATGATCGAAAAATGGAAACCACGACAGTACCCCCCCTTCAAGCGACTGCTCCCATGATGTCCCAAAAAAACGAGTTCGGCAGGGCGGAGGTGTGTTTGCAGAGCAGGCGCCAAAGAAGCATCGGTAACACTTTACATTACGGGCCGGTAAGTCCATGGTACTTACAGTGGTACTTCTAGGTACTTACAGTGGTACTTCTAGGTACTTACAGTGGTACTTACGGTGGTACTTACGGTGGTACTTACGGTGGTACTTACGGTGGTACTTACGGTGGTACTTACGGTGGTACTTACGGTGGTACTTACGGTGGTACTTACAGGGGTACTTACGGTGGTACTTACGGTGGTACTTACAGTGGTACTTACAGTGGTACTTACAGTGGTACTTCTAGGTACTTACAGTGGTACTTACGGTGGTACTTACGGTGGTACTTACGGTGGTACTTACGGTGGTACTTACGGTGGTACTTACGGTGGTACTTACGGTGGTACTTACAGGGGTACTTACGGTGGTACTTACGGTGGTACTTACGGTGGTACTTACAGTGGTACTTACAGTGGTACTTACAGTGGTACTTACAGTGGTACTTCTAGGTACTTACAGTGGTACTTCTAGGTACTTACGGTGGTACTTACAGTGGTACTTACAGTGGTACTTACAGTGGTACTTCTAGGTACTTCTAGGTACTTCTAGGTACTTACAGTGGTACTTCTAGTGGTACTTCTAGGTACTTATTGTGGTACTTACAGTGGTACTTCTAGGTACTTACAGTGGTACTTAGAGGTACTTATTGTGGTACTTACAGTGGTACTTCTAGGTACTTATTGTGATAATTCTAGATACAGCTGTAACTTAGTAATTCAAGGACACTACAGTATTATTCCTATGTAGTAAATGTGGTACTTCTACATACATACATACAGAGGTCATTTGTAGGATTGTTTGACTATAAAACATAAAACAACATTATGTAAAACAAACGTCTTTATTAATATGGAATAAGTAGCACAGAAAGGACAGTATAAATACATTTAATGCATATTTCAAAACAAGTTTCAAGGACAAGGGAAACACTGCAAGAACTAGGTACCCAACCCAAGTAACAAGAATTACACATTACCAGGTACTTACCAGCCAAGTACCAGGTACTTACCAGCAAGTACCAGGTACTTACCAGCAAGTACCAGGTACTTAACAGCAAGTACCAGGTACTTACCATAGGGACTGGCCCATAATAAGACAAAGGACTTTAACATAAGTACCAGTGATAACACCAGTAATTATACAGTAAGTACCAGGTACTTACCATAGGGACTGGCCCATAATAAGACAAAGGACTTTAACATAAGTACCAGTGATAACACCAGTAATTATATAGTAAGTACCAGGTACTTACCATAGGAACTGGCCCATAATAAGACAAAGGACTTACCCATAAGTACTAGTGATACCAGTAATTATATAGTATACCATGTACTTACCAGCAAGTACCAGGTACTTACCAGCAAGTACCAGGTACTTACCAGCAAGTACCAGGTACTTAACAGCAAGTACCAGGTACTTACCAGCAAGTACCAGGTACTTGCTGGTAAGTACATGGTATACTATATAATTACTGGTATCACTAGTACTTATGGGTAAGTCCTTTGTCTTATTATGGGCCAGTTCCTATGGTAAGTACCTGGTACTTACTATATAATTACTGGTGTTATCACTGGTACTTATGTTAAAGTCCTTTGTCTTATTATGGGCCAGTCCCTATGGTAAGTACCTGGTACTTACTGTATAATTACTGGTGTTATCACTGGTACTTATGTTAAAGTCCTTTGTCTTATTATGGGCCAGTCCCTATGGTAAGTACCTGGTACTTGCTGTTAAGTACCTGGTACTTGCTGGTAAGTACCTGGTACTTGCTGGTAAGTACCTGGTACTTGCTGGTAAGTACCTGGTACTTGCTGGTAAGTACCTGGTACTTGGCTGGTAAGTACCTGGTAATGTGTAATTCTTGTTACTTGGGTTGGGTACCTAGTTCTTGCAGTGTTTCCCTTGTCCTTGAAACTTGTTTTGAAATATGCATTAAATGTATTTATACTGTCCTTTCTGTGCTACTTATTCCATATTAATAAAGACGTTTGTTTTACATAATGTTGTTTTATGTTTTATAGTCAAACAATCCTACAAATGACCTCTGTATGTATGTATGTAGAAGTACCACATTTACTACATAGGAATAATACTGTAGTGTCCTTGAATTACTAAGTTACAGCTGTATCTAGAATTATCACAATAAGTACCTAGAAGTACCACTGTAAGTACCACAATAAGTACCTCTAAGTACCTAGAAGTACCACTGTAAGTACCACAATAAGTACCTAGAAGTACCACTAGAAGTACCACTGTAAGTACCTAGAAGTACCACTGTAAGTACCACTGTAAGTACCACTGTAAGTACCTAGAAGTACCACTGTAAGTACCTAGAAGTACCACTGTAAGTACCACTGTAAGTACCACTGTAAGTACCACCGTAAGTACCACCGTAAGTACCACCGTAAGTACCCCTGTAAGTACCACCGTAAGTACCACCGTAAGTACCACCGTAAGTACCACCGTAAGTACCACCGTAAGTACCACTGTAAGTACCACTGTAAGTACCACTGTAAGTACCTAGAAGTACCACTGTAAGTACCTAGAAGTACCACTGTAAGTACCACTGTAAGTACCACTGTAAGTACCACCGTAAGTACCACCGTAAGTACCACCGTAAGTACCCCTGTAAGTACCACCGTAAGTACCACCGTAAGTACCACCGTAAGTACCACCGTAAGTACCACCGTAAGTACCACCGTAAGTACCACCGTAAGTACCTAGAAGTACCACTGTAAGTACCACCGTAAGTACCACCGTAAGTACCACCGTAAGTACCACCGTAAGTACCACCGTAAGTACCACTGTAAGTACCTAGAAGTACCTAGAAGTACCACTGTAAGTACCTAGAAGTACCACTGTAAGTACCACTGTAAGTACCACTGTAAGTACCACTGTAAGTACCACCGTAAGTACCACCGTAAGTACCACCGTAAGTACCCCTGTAAGTACCACCGTAAGTACCACCGTAAGTACCACCGTAAGTACCACCGTAAGTACCACCGTAAGTACCACCGTAAGTACCACCGTAAGTACCACCGTAAGTACCACTGTAAGTACCTAGAAGTACCACTGTAAGTACCTAGAAGTACCACTGTAAGTACCATGGACTTACCGGCCCGTAATGTAAAGTGTTACCGAAGCATCCAATTCAATTCAATTCAATGTATTCTTATATCGCCCCCTAAATCACAACAGTAGTTATCACAGAGGACTTACTGTAATTAAACCTTTGAATTCGCCAACACAGATCAGAGAATCAAACAGTTCAAACACAAAGAATAGAAAACACATTGATATTGGTCCATAGGGAGTTGACCAATGTCCATGAGTGTTGATGAAGGTTGAATGTCCTGGATCATCACCACGGTCCTTTTAGTTAGACCCTCTAACAGTCTAAAACTCTAAAACCCAGTGGGGAAACAAAGAAAGATGAAAAAAACCTCAGGGAGAACCGCATTGAGAGAGGGGTCCGCTCCCAGGGGAGGACGGGCCATAGATCCAGATCCAGGACTCAAGCTACAGAACGAGGACCAAAGCCACGCGCCGCATCCAGGCCAGTGTTGACCTCCCGCAAGGGCAGGGGAACAAGGGACCACCCCTGGTTCAGAGGCAAAACAGAACAGGAGATCTGCTTCTCTTTGTAGCTCCTTTCATAGTTTCTCAATCATGCTTTTAAGAGTTTTATATGTTCCTCACTGTGTCTTGCCTCGCTATTTTTATTATTTTGTCTGTGTGTGTGCTTTGTG